CTGGCTGTCCCACGTCCCCCAAGTGGGAGGCCGCAGCTGGTGTGGGTGACTTTGGTTCCCGGGGCAGGGGAGGGTTATTTTGGGAGTGGGGGCCAGGGAGAATGAGAGGCCCCTCCACGGGGCAGGAAGTGGGGCGGCCCCAGCTGCATTCTCCCGTTGGCCCACCTGGCGTGGCGGGTACTGCTGCTGCACAGGAAGCGCCCCCAACGCCCGCCTGTGTGGTCCACTGAGTCTAGGGCCTGGAGGCAGGAGGCAGCCAGCGAGGAGGGGGCAGGGCCCCGCTGTGGGGGGCTGCAGAGCAGATCGGAATCTTCCAGAAGAGTCCCGCTGGAGTAATGGTGTTGCCTGCGGAGTGAGCGGTGACTTTGGTTCAGGCCATCTATATGCATTGGCTGGTTTAATCCAGCGTCTTGAATGAATCCCCCTTTTACACCCGGGGAAACTGAGTTTCAGAAACAGAAGTGACTGGCCCAAAGCCATTCAACAAATAAACAGCAGAGGCCAGGCTCGCTGGCTCACACCTGTAATCCCAGCGCTTCAGGAGGCTGAGGCGGGCGGATCACTTGAGGTCAGGAGTGTGAGACCATCGTGGGCAACGTGGTGAAACCACATCTTTACTCAAAATACAAAAATTAAGCCAGGTTGCGGTGGCTCAGCCTATAATCCCAGCAGTTTGGGAGGCCAAGGCAGGTGGATCATGAAGTCAGGAGTTCGAGACCAGCCTGGCCAACATGGCGAGACCCCATCTCTACTAAAAATACAAAAATTAGCTGGGTGCGGTGGCACGCGCCTGTAATCTCAGCTACTTGAGAGGCTGAGGCAGGAGGATTGCTTGAACCCAGGAGATGGAGGTTGCAGTGAGCCGAGATCACGCCATTGCACTCCAGCCTGGGCGACAGAGCAAGACTCCATCTCAAAAAAACAAACAAGAAAAAACAAAAATCAGATGAGTGTGGTGGTCGGTTCCTGTAATCCCAGCTAGCTGGAGGCCAAGTCATGAGAACTGCTTGAACCCAGGGCAGAGGCAGAGCCGAGATCGCACCACTGAGCTCCAGTCTGGGCAACAGAGCGAGGCTTTGTCTCAAAACAACAAGAAACAGCATCGGCCGGGCGCGATGGCTCACGCTTATAATCCCAGCACTTTGCGGGGCTGAGAAGGGCAGACCACTAGAGCCCAGGAGCTTGAGGTTGCAGTGAGCTATGCCAGTGCCACTGTGCTCCAGCCTGGGCTACAGAGCCAGATTTTGTCTCAAAAAATACTACTAATAATAAATACACAGCAGTACTCGGATTCTCATGCACAGCATTTGCTGTGAGATACATTAACTGCACAGAGGCTTCCAAGTATATACTGTGCATTGAAGCTCTCAGCCAGGGGACACGGAGTGACCTCTGGGGATATGTGTGGTTGTCAGTACTGGGGGTCACTCCTGATATGGAGGGGGTGGAGGCCAGGGATGCTGCTCAGCACCCTTCAGTGCCCAGGGTGGCCCACAGACAAAGAACCCACCCCTAATGTAGAGTCACGTGTGGCAGCTCACGCCTGTAATCCCAGCACTCTGGGAGGCCAAGGCGGGCGGATCACCTGAGGTCAGGAGTTTGAGGCCAGCCTGGCCAACATGGTGAAACCCCGTCTCTACTAAAAATACAACAATTTGCCACCTATGGTGGCAGGTGCCTGTAATCCCAGCTACCTGGGAGGCCGAGCCATGAGAATCACTTGAACATGGGAGGTGGAGGTTGCAGTGAGCCGAGGTCACACCACTGTACTCCAGCCTGGTCAACAGAGTGAGGCTCCATCTAAAAAATAAAGAAATAAGCTGGGCACAGTGGCTCACACCTGTAATCCCAGCACTTTGGGAGGCCAAGGCAGGCAGATTGTCTGAGCTCAGGAGTTGAGGACCAGCCTGAGCAAGACAGTGAAATCTTGTCTCTATTAAAAATACAAAAAATTAGCTGGGTATGGTGGTGTGTGCCTATAATCCCAGCTACTCGGGAGTCTGAGGCAGGAGAATCACGTGAACCCGGGAGGCGGAGGTTGCAGTGAGCTGAGATCACACCACTGCTCTCCAGCCTGGGCAACAGTGAGAGATTCCATCTCAAAATACATACATACATATATACATACATACATTTTATTTTATTTTTGAGACGGAGTTTCGCTGTTGTTACCCAGGCTGGAGTGCAATGGCATGATCTCGGCTCACCGCAACCTCCGCCTCCTGGGTTCAAGCAATTCTCCTGCCTCAGCCTCCCGAGTAGCTGGGGTTATAGGCACGCACCATCATGCCCAGCTAATTTTTTTTTTTTTTTTTTTTGGTATTTTTAGTAGAGACAGGGTTTCACCATGTTGACCAGGATGGTCTCGATCTCTTGACCTCGTGATCCACCCGCCTCGGCCTCCCAAAGTGCTGGGATTATAGGCGTGAGCCATCGCGCCCAGGCCATACATACATTTTAAAAATGTAAAAATCGATTTTGCCTATTCCATTTTTTCTGGTCGTAACTTGACTACTAGGATATTGATTAATTGATTGATTTTTTTTTTCTTTTTCCTTTTTTTTTTAAAGACGGGATTTCACCCCGTTGGTCAGGCTGGTCTTGAACTCCCGACCTCAGGTGATTCACCTGCTTTGGCCTCCAAAGTGCTTGGATTCCAAGCGTGAGCCACCACGCCCAGCCTATTGTTTTATTTTTTATTTTATCTTATTTATTTATTGTTTTTGAGACGGAGTCTCACTCTGTTGCCTGGGCTGGAGTGCAGTGATGTGATCTTGGTTCACTGCAACCTCCACCTATTGGGGTCAAGCGATTCTCTTGCCTCAGCCTCCCGAGTAGCTGGGATTATAGGCTCATGCCACAATGCCTGGCTAATTTCATTTATTTATTTATTTATTTTGGAGACAGAATCTTGCTCTGTCCCCCAGGCTGGACTGCAGTGACCCAATCTCAATTCACTGCAACCTCCACTTCCGGGGTTCAAGCGACTGTCAGCCTCCCGTGTAGCCAGAACTACAGGTGTGCGCCACCACACCCAGCTAATTTTTGTAATTTTTGTGTTTTTAGTAGAGACGGGATTTCACCATGTTGGCCAGGCTGTCATGAATTCCCCACCTCAGATAATCCGCTGCCTCGGCCTCCCAGAGTGCTGGGATTACAGGCATGAGTCACCACGCCTGGCCTAGGAAATTTAAAATTACATTTGTGGCCAGGTGTGGTGGCTCACACCGTAATCTCAGCACTTTCGGAGGCTGAGGCTGGTGGATCACTTGAGGTCAGAAGTTTGAGACCAGCCTGGCCAACATGGTGAAACTCCATCTCCACTAAAAATACAAAAATTAAAAACCAGCTGGGCGTGCTGGTGCACGCCTGTGATCCCAGCTACTACTCACAAGGTTAAGGCAGGAGAGTATCTTGAACCCAGGAGGCAGAGGTTGTGGCAAGCTGACGTTATGCCATTGTACTCCAGCCTGGGCAACATAAGTGAAACTTTGTTTCAAAAAAGTGAATAGGCCCCGGTGCAGTGGCTTATGCCTATAATCTTAGCACTTTGGGAGGGTGAGGCGGGATGAACACAAACTCAAGAGGTGGAGACCATCCTGGCCAACAGGGTGAAACCCCATCTCTACTAAAAATACAAAAATTAGCCGGGCGTGGTGGCGCTCCCTTGTAGTCCCAGCTACTCGGGAGGCTGAGGCGGGAGAATCACTTGAACCCAGGAAGCAGAGGTTGCAATGAGCCAAGATGAAACCACTGCGCTCCAGCCCGAGCGACAGAGGGAGACTCTGTGTCAAGAACAAAACAAAAAAATGGTGGATGAGAGCAGGACGGACGCAGGGGACAGGGAGAAGTGGGAGATGCTGGGCAGCGTGAGGACAGAGCCCATGTGGCTTATGGATGGATCGCACATGGGCAGATGGCACAGGTTTATCAGCAGGAAGACTTTGGCATTGGTCCCAAGTATGGGGGAGGAAGCCTGAGCTGCTGTCGGCAGAGGTCCGCAGGATCTGATTCGGGTGTGAGCCCCGCAGAGCAGTCCCGGGGCTCCACAGCAACCTCTGTGACTTACACCAGCACAGAGCTGCTCCCCCTCTGTCCCGTCATATCGTGGGCGGTATTTCGTTCTGTTTTGATTTTGAGACAGGATCTTGCTCTGTCGTCACCCAGGCTGGAGTGCAGAGGCACGATCATGGCTCACTGCAGCCTCAATTTCCTGGGTTCAATTGATCCTCTCGCCTCAGCCACCTGAATCGCTGGGACTACAGGTGTGTGCCACTACGTCCGAGACAGAATTTCAGTCTTGTTGCCCAGGCTGGAGTGCAGTGGTGCAATCTCGGCTCACTGCAACCTCCATGTCCCAGGTTCAAGCAATTCTCCTGTCTCAGCCTCCCGAGTAGCTGGGATTACAGGCGTGCGCCACCACGCCCAGCTAATTTTTTGTATTTTTAGTAGAGATGGGGTGTCACCATATTGGCCAGACTGGTCTCCAACTCCTGACCTCAGGTGATCCACCCGCCTCAGCCTCCCAAAGTGCTGGGATTACAGGTGTGAGCCACTGCACCTGGCCCATGTTTTTTTTTTGTTTTTTTTTTGTAGAGATGGGGTCTCATAATGTTGCCCAGGCTGGGCTCAAGTGATCCTCCTGCCATAGCCTCCTAAAGTGCTGGGATTACAGGAATGAGCCACCATGCTCAGCCCCCTTGGTACTGTTCAGGCTAAACAATTCCTGATAGTGGGGGGCCATCCTGGGCACTGCAGGGAGCTGAGCAGCATCCCTGGCACCCATGCACTCCACACCAGTAGGACTGGCTTCTCCCCCAACCCCCTGTGGTTGTGACAGCCAGTACAAGCAGACATGGAGAATCCCTCCATGTGGGACCCCTGGTCTTGGCACTATGAGACCCCAGTAGGCTGGGGCAGACTTAGGGTGGAAAAGGAGGGCTATGCCGGGGTTGGGTCCGGGGAGGCCTTCCCAGTTTATTTTGTCCATTCTAGACAAAATAAACTGCTAGAGTTTGGGGAGGTGGCTGACCACGTGTTGCCCATGCCATGACTCATCTGGGAGTCACCTGTGTAAGACAGAGGGCTTCCTCCCGGTAGACACTGATAAAGCTATTTTTCTTTTTTAATATTTAAAAGTTTGGGTGCTTAATTCTGGTGATCTGGGCTCACAGGTGACACTTCGTCCTCTGGCGGCTGGCCGCTGTCAGAGTCCACCGAGGCGCTGGTGATGATGATGGGAACCTTGGCCTTGAGGCTGGCCAGGGACCAGGGCAGGTGCACGGTGACAGCCAGCTCGTAGCGAGTGTGCATGATGTCACCATCCTGTGTGCCGCTGCTCACGGGCAGCAACGGCGGCAGCTTGAAGGTGCTGACGATCTTGGTGGTGTTGAAGCGGGACATGGGGGTGCCGGCCTCCTGCCGCAGAAGCTCGCTGCTGTCCAGCCGAGACCGCCGCTCCGCGCCGGGCGTGAAGCCCTCGTGCTGCACATGGGCATACAGGGCGAAGATGACCGTCTTGATGCATTTGCTGGTCTGGTTGTTGATCTCTGTCGTGAAGACGACCTTCTCTCCCGGCGTGAAGGTGTTCTTTTCCATCCGGATTTGCAAGCAGATGGTGCCCCGGCGGCAGCAGTTGTAGGAGACTTTCTTCTCAGCCTCCACAACCAGGGGGTTCTAGAAGAGGAGGGTGTGTGGGAACAGATGACCGTGAGGGATCAGGGCCACAAAATCCACTCGTCTGTCTGATCCAACCTGGGAGCTCCGCAAAGCCTCCGGGGCTTTGGGGGATCTCCAAGGAAGAGGCACTAGACGGAATCTGGAGCCCTGAGGATTTTGCAGCCAAAACCCAGAGTCCTCTCTCCTGTCACCTAGTGTCCTTTTTTTTTTTTTTTTGAGACATAGTCTCACTGTGTCGCCCAGGCTGGAGTGCAGTGCTATGATCTCGGCTCACTGCAACCTCCGCCTCCCGGTTCAAGCAATTCTCCTGCCTCAGCCTTCCAAGTAGCTGGAAATACGTGTGTGTGCCACCACACCGAGCTAATTTTTGTATTTTTAGTAGGCATGGGGTTTCACCATGTTGGCCAGCCTGGTCTTAAACCCCTGACCTCAGGTGATCAGCCTTCCTCAGCCTCCCAAAGTGCTGGGATTACAGGCGTGAGCCACCGCACCTGGCCTTCTGTTCTTTTGTCTTATAAAAAAAATAATAGTTGCGGCCCGGCGCAGTGGCTCACGCCTGTAATCCCAGAACTTTGGGAGGCTGAGGAAGGTGGATCACGAAGTCAAGAGATCGAGACCATCCTGGCCAACGTAGTGAAACCCCGTCTCTACTGAAATGCAAAAATTAGCTGGGCATGGTGGTGCGCACCTGTAGTCCCAGCTACTCAGGAGGCTGAGGCAGGAGAATTGCTTGAAGCCAGGAAGTGGAGGTTGCAGTGAGCTGAGATCGCACCATTGCACTCCAGCCTGGCACCTGGCGAAACAACACGATTCTGTCTCTAAATAAATAAATAATATTTGCAACCTGCTAAATGGATTTTTCCTGATATTCCCTATTTCTATTCTGGCCTATTTCTATTCTTGCCTAGTCTTTGTTTTTTTTTTTTTTTTTTTTTTTTTTTTTTGAGATGGAGTTTTGCTCTTGTTACCCAGGCTGGAGTGCAATGGCGCGATCTCGGCTCACCGCAACCTCCGTCTCCTGGGTTCAGGCAATTCTCCTGCCTCAGCCTCCCGAGTAGCTGGGATTACAGGCGGGCGCCACCACGCCCAGCTAATTTTTTGTATTTTTAGTAGAGACGGGGTTTCACCATGTTGAGCAGGATGGTCTCGATCTCTTGACCTCGTGATCCACCCGCCTCAGCCTCCCAAAGGGCTGGGATTACAGGCTTGCGCCACCGCGCCCGGCCTCTTGCCTAGTCTTTCTTTTATAAAAATGTGGCCGGGTGCAGTAGCTCACACCTGTAATCCCAGTACTTTGGGAGGCCAAGGCAGGTGGATTACCAGAGTCAGGAGTTCGAGACCAGCCTGGCTAATGTGGTGAAGCCCCATCTCTACTAAAATTATAAAGATTAGCTGGGCGTGGTGGCACGTGCCTGTAATCTAAGCTATCTCGGGAGGCTGAGGCAGAAGAATCAGTTGAACCTGGGAGACCGAGGTCGCAGTGAGCTGAGATACAGCCCTGCACTCCAGCCTGGGCGACAGAGTGAGACTGTCTCAAGGAAAAAAAAAAAAAAAAGAAAGAAAAGAAAAGAAAAAGAAAATGCTTATATTCCACCAAATGGATTTTTGCAACCCACTCCTGGGTTGTGACCTGTGGTTTGAAAAAGATTGCTGGCCAGGCATGGAGGCTCACGCCTGTAATCCCAGCACTTTGAGGAGGCCAAGGCGGGAGGATCACTTGAGCCCAGGAGTTTGAGACCAGCCTGGACAATATAGTGACACCATGTCCCAAATAATAATAATAGTAATAAGAAGAAGAAGAAGAAGAAAGAAGGAGGAGGAGGAGAAGAGGAAGAAGAAGGAGAGAAAAGAAAGAAAAACACTGGGCCGGGTGCGGTGGCTCACGCTTGTAATCCAAGCACTTTGGAGGCCAAGGCGGGCGGATCACCTGAGGTTGGGAGTTCAAGACCAGCCTGACCAACATGGTGAAACCCTGTCTTTAAAAAGAAGCAGAAAAGAAAACACTGTAGCAGGAGTTCCTGCCTCTGGCTTCTCTTCAGCCTTCCCAGGAGCCCCCGGAGCTCCCCCCCCTCTCCTGAAGGCTAATTGCAGTCAGTTTCATTCTAAATCCCTGCAGTCTTATTCGAAAATTCGCAACATGCGTTAGGACCCTACAGGTGTGAAAGACCCACTGCCCTAACTCAAGACAAAGCTGGTAGTTCTGTCTTGGTCCTGAAGGAGGCACCGAGAGCTACCAATCTTCTTTTATTTCCAACTGAGATATTTAAAAAAAAAAATTTTTTTTTTGAGATGGAGTCTTGCTCTGTCACCAGGGCGGAGTGCAGTGGCGCAAAGTCGGCTCACCGCAACCTCCGCCTCCCGGGTCTAAGCAACTCTTCTGCTCTAGCTTCCCAAGTAGCTGGGACTACGGGTATGCACCATCACACCCAACTTGTTTTTGTAGAAACAGGGTTTCACCATATTGGACAGGCTGGTCTTTGAACTCCCGACCTTGTGATCCACCCACCTCGGCCTCTCAAAGTGCTGGGATTATAAGCATGAACCACTGCACCTGGCTTAGACAGTTTCACTCTTGTTGCCCAGGCTGGAGTGCAGTGGTGTGATATTGGGTCACTGCAACCTCCGCCTCCCAGGTTCAAGCGATTCTCCTGCCTCAGCCTCCCGAGTACCTAGGATTACAGGCACACACCACCAAGCCCAGCTAATTTTTGTATTTTTAGTAGGGATGGGATTTCAACATGTTGGCCAGGCTGGTCTTGATCTCTGACCTCATGATCGGCCCACCTCGGCCTCCCATAGTGCTGGGATGACAGGCATGAACCACTGTGCCTGGCCTTAAATTTTTATTTTTTTAAAATAGAGATACCGGCCAGGGGTGGTGACTCACATTTGTAATCCCAGCACTTTCGGAAGCCAAGGCAGGCAGATTCTTTTTTTTTTTTTTTTTTGAGACGGAGTTTCGCTCCCGTTACCCAGGCTGGAGTGCAATGGCGCGATCTCGGCTCACCGCAACCTCCGCCTCCTGGGTTCAGGCAATTCTCCTGCCTCAGCCTCCCGAGTATCTGGGATTATAGGCATGTGCCACCATGCCCAGCTAATTTTTTGTATTTTTAGTAGAGACAGGATTTCACCATGTTGACCAGGATGGTCTCGATCTCTTGACCTTGTGATCCACCCGCCTCGGCCTCCCAAAGTGCTGGGATTACAGGCTTGAGCCACTGCGCCCGGCCTCTCTCTCCTTTTTTCTTTCTTTCTTTTCTTTTCTTTTCTTTCTTTCTTCCTTCCTTTCTTTCTCTTTCTTTTCTTTCTTTCTCTTTTTCTTTCTCTCTCCCTCTCTTTCTCTCTCTTTTTTTCTTTCTTTTTTTTTGAGATGACGTCTCGCTCTGTTGCCCAGGCTGGAGTGCAGTCACCCTATCTCGGCTTACTGCAAGCTCCACCTCCTGGGTTCAAGCAATTCTTCAGCCTCAGTCTCCCAAGTAGCTGGGACTACAGATGCGTGCCACCACACCTGGCTAAGTTTTTGTATTTTTAGGAGAGACGGTGTTTCGCCGTGTTAGCCAGGATGGTCTTGATCTTCTGACCTCGTGATCCACCCACCTCGGCCTCCCAAAGTGCTGGGATTATAGGCGTAAGCCACTGCACCTGGCTTTGTTTCTTTTTTTAAAAGAATATTGGCCGGGTTCCGTGGCTAATGCTTGTAATCCCAACACTTTGGTAGGCTGAGGTGGGCGGATCACCAGAGGTTGGGAGTTTGATACCAGCCTGGCCAACGTGGTGAAACCCCATCTCTACTAAAAACACAGTAATTAGCTGGGTATGGTGGGTCACGTCTGTAATCCCAGCTACTCAGGAGGCTGAGACATGAGAATCACTTGAACCTGGGAGGTGGAGGTTGCAGTGAGCTGAGATTGTGCCACTGCACTCCAGCCTGGGTGACAGAGTGTGACTCTGTCTCAAAAAAAAAAAAAAAAGGCTGGTATGGTGGCTTATACCTATAATTCCAGCACTTTGGGAAGCTGAGGCAGGTGGATCATGAGTTCAGGAGATCAAGACAATCCTGGCCAACATGGTGAAACCCTGTCTCTACTAAAATACAAAAAATTAGCCAGGCATGGTGGTTCGAGACTGTAGCCCAGCTACTCGGGAGGCTGAGGCAGGAGAATCACTGGAACCTGGGAGGTGGAGGTTGAAATGAGCTAAGATTGTGCCACGGTACTCTAGCCTGGCAACAGAGCAAGACTCTGCCGCAAAAAAAAAAATATATATATATATAGATATATAGATATAGATATATAGATAGATAGACACACATGTATATATTATACACGGACACACATGTATACATATATATACACACACGTATACATATATACACACGCATACATATATACACAGACACATACACGTATACATATACACACACGTATACATATATGTACACACACTTATACATACATATATATACACAGACATACACACATATATATATACACACATGTATACATATATACACAGACACATACACACACACGTATACATATATACACGTATACATATACACACATATACATATATACACACGTATACATATATATACCCAGACACATACACGTATACATATAGGTACACACACACTTATATACACAGACACACACACACACGTATACATATATATACAGACACACGTATACATATATGTACACACACATATACACACAGACACATACACACGTATACATATATACAGACACACGTGTACATATATGTACACACACTTATACATATATATATATATATATATACATATATATACACACAGACACATACACACAATTTTATTTTGCTTTAGAGCTGGAGTCTTGCTCTGTCGCCCAGGCTGGCGTGCAGTGCTACAAACATGGCTCACTACAGCCTTGACGTCCGGCTGCCCTGAGGTTTCTGACTCACCTTTTGTGAAATCGCGGGGCCTGGGAAGCTGCCAACACCCTTCCCTTCTCCCTATGGGACCTTCTCTGTCCCCTGCCCGGCCACCTTCCCTCTTCCTCCTTGGAGCTTGGAGAGTGTTCCCACCCCCACCTCTCCCCCATCAGCACCTGGAATGTGGTTTCTTTGTGGAAGGCAGAAGACCCTTGAACCATTACGTACATCTTCTTCTTGGCTAAAATGAGTTCCCGGCCCATGCAGGAAGCTTGTACAAAGTAGAAGACGTGGCCAAATTTGCTGGCAAAGGTGGAAGGAAGCCTGGGAGGTAAGTTGAAATGGAAATCAAAGGTGTGGCTGCCTGCACTTAACCAGTTATCTGAAAGCAAAACACACCGATGCCATCAGAAGGTTCTAGAATCTTTACATCTTTACTTGGGGGCTCTATTTTAATATTTATTTATTTATTTATTTTTGAGACAGGATCTTGCTCTGCCATCCAGAGTGTAGTGGTGTGATCTCAGCTCATTGCAACCGCTGTCTCCCAGGTTCAAACAATTCTCCTGCCTCAGCCTCCCGAGTAACTGGGATTACAAGTGTGCGCCACCACACCTGGCTAATTTTTCTATTTTTGGTAGAGACAGGGTTTTGTTATGTTGGCCAGGCTGCTCTCGAACTCCTGGCCTCAGGTGATCCGCCCACCTCGTCCTCCCAAAGTGCTGGGATTACAGGCATGAGCCACTGCGCCTGGCCAGAACTAGCAATTTCTCAGCACCTACTGTATACCTGGCCTTATTCTAAACCATTTACATGCCATTAAATCATTAAGTCCTTAACACAATCTATGAAGTAAGACCTCTTCCTATTCCCATTATATAGCTGCATTGGCTGGGCGCAGTGGCTCATACCTGTAATCCCAGCACTCTGGGAGGCCGAAGCAGGCAGATCATGAGGTCAGGAATTCCACACCAGCCTGGGCGAGATGGTAAAACCCCATCACTACTAAAAATAGAAGAAAAAAAAATTGGCCGGGTACCGTGGCTCACACCTGTAATCCCAGCACTCTGGGAGGCCGAGGCGGGTGGATCACCTGAAGTCGAGAGTTCGAGACCAGCCTGACCAACATGGAGAAACCCCGTCTCTACTAAAAATACAAAATAGCTGGGCATGGTGGCGCATGCCTGTAATCCCAGCTACTTGGCAGGCTGAGGCTGGAGAATCAGTTTGAACTGAGGAGGCGGAGGTTGCAGTGAGCCGAGATGGCGCCATTGCACTCCAGCCTGGGTGACAGAGAGAGACTCTGTCTCAAAAAGAAAAAAGCAACAACCCGGAAATATCCCCACAAATACATTTTGAAAAGGACATATAAGGTCGGGCACGGTGGCTCACGCCTATAATCCCAGCCCTTTGGGAGGCCGAGGCGGGTGGATCATGAGGTCAAGAGATAGAGACCATCCTGGTCAACATGGTGAAACCCCGTCTCGACTAAAAATTCAAAAATTAGCTGGGCATGGTGGCGCGTGCCTGTAATCCCAGCTACTTGGGAGGCTGAGGCAGGAGAATTGCTTGAACCCAGGAGGCGGAGGTTGTGGTGAGCCAAGATCGCGCCATTGCACTCCAGCCTGGGTAACAAAAGCGAAACACCGTTTCAAAAAAAAAAAAAAAAGAAAGAAAGAAAGAAAAGGACATATAATACACCCCACAACTCATCAGACTCCCTGGCATTTGTTCAGACTTCAGACCTGAGTTGCTGGAACTGAGCACTGTCCCTGGGAGGCCTCCTCCCACTTCTGCCTTTACCATCTCTCGCTTTTTTGAGATGGAATTTCGCTCTGTCACCCAGGCTGGCAAGCAGTGGCAAGATCTTGGTTCATTGCAACCTCCAGCTCCCGAGTTCAATTGGTTCTCTTGCCTCAGCCTCCCGAGTAGCTGGGATTATAGGCATGCACTAGCATGCCTAGCTGGTTTTTTTGGTGTTTTTTGGCAGAGATGGGGTTTTGCTATATTGGCCAGGCTGGTCTTAAACTCCTGACCTCAAGTGATCCTCCTGCCTTGGCCTCCCAAAGTGCTGGAATTACAGGCATGAGCCACCACACCTGGCCTACCTCCACTGTCTAACCCCATGAATAAAGGACTCCCTACTTTGTCTCCTGGGGTTTTGCTGTCAGAGTGAAACTTATCTGTAAAATATTAAGACTTCTTAGGGGCTTCTCAAAGGGAGTCATAGGACTAAGCATTTTCTTTTTTCTTTTCTATTTTTGAGACAGAGTTTCGCTCTTGTAACTCAGGCTGGAGTGCAATGGCGGGATCTCGGCTCACCGCAACCTCCGTCCCCTGAGTTCAAGCAATTCTCCTGCCTCAGCCTCCCGAGTAGCTGGGATTACAGGCACGTGCCACCATGCCCAGCTAATTTTTTGTATTTTTAGTAGAGACGGGGCTTCACCATGTTGACCAGGATGGTCTCGATCTCTCGACCTCATGATCCACCCACCTCGGCCTCCCAAAGTGCTGGGATTACAGGCTTGAGCCAGCGCGCCCGGCCAGGACTAAGCATTTTCCAAGGTGACTACTTGGAACCCTCATTTTGAATATCTAGGTTCTGATCAGCTCCTTCTGTCTTCTTATTTTCATGTTTTCTGTATCTGTTGGTCATTGTTCTACATGGCTTCCCTCCTAGGGAGAAATCAGGCCACTGCCTATTTCTGGTATCCCTGGAGGTTTGTTGATTGACTCCTGGATGTGTTTATTTTCCGGATCCAGGTTCCTGTCATGGCTAGGGGTGGCTGGTGGCCTCGTCCTTACCCTCCACTGGGAATGTCTTTGTCTTATGCACGTAGTCTGCCTTGTTGTTGCAAATGACATCCCTGCTATAATCTCGGGATGCTCCAGCTTCTTCAGTCCACTCGACGTAACCCCTTCCCACAAGCTCCACCTTGACTGTGGGGTCCACCAGGGTGCTGTTCAGGGTTAAAATCACCTGCCCTTTTATGCTGGAGCCGGCCAGGTAGATTGCATCCTGGGGGAGCACCAATTCGACGGACTTCACCACAGACATGAGGGGTTGGGGCGGTAGAGAAGCATCCGTCTCCCTCCCCCATGTCCCTGAAATTCCCAGTTCCTCGGCCCTAGAAAGGTAATCCATCTATGACATCACTCAGCTCAGAGTTCCAGGAAGCGGGGGATCCCAATGGTCAGGAGGGGAGGCAAGGCTGTTGGTCAGGGTGGGTGGTTGCTTGGGAAATTTGTAGTCCCTACTGGTTCTTTTTTTTTTTTGAGATGGAGTCTCACTGCCACCCATGGCTAATTTTTTTGTGTTTGTATTTATTTTATTTTATTTTTTGAGATGGTCTCACCCTGTCACCCAGGCTGGAGTGCAGTGGCCAAATCTTGGGTCACTGCAACTTCTACCTCCCAGGTGCAAGCGACTCTCCTGCCTCAGCCTCCCAAGTAGCTGGGATTACAGGTACCCACCACCACACCCGGCTACTTTTTGTATTTTTTTTTTTTTTTGAGACAGAGTTTCGCTCTTGTTACCCAGGCTGGAGTGCAATGGTGCGATCTCGGCTCACCGCAACTCCACCTCCTGGGTTCAGGCAATTCTCCTGCCTCAGCCTCCTGAGTAGCTGGGATTACAGGCACGCGCCACCATGCCCAGCTAATTTTTTGTATCTTTAGTAGAGATGGGGTTTCACCATGTTGACCAGGGTGGTCTCGATATCTTGACCTCGTGATCCACCTGCCTCGGCCTCCCAAAGTGCTGGGATTACAGGTTTGAGCCACCACGCCTGGCCTTACTTTTTGTATTTTTTGTAGAGACGGGGTTTCGCCAAGTTGTCTGGGATGGTTTAGATCTCTTGACCTAGTGATCTGCCTGCCTCTGCCTCCCAGAGTGCTGGGATTACAGGCATGAGCCATCTTGCCACCCGGCCTTTTTTTTTTTTTAGAGACAAAGTCTCATTCTGTCACCTAGGCTAGAGTGTAGTGGCGTCATCTTGGCTCGCTGCAACCTCCACCTCCCGGGTTTAAGTAATTCTGCTACCTCAGCCTCCTGAGTAGCTGGGATTACAGGCATTTACCACCACCACCCCTGGCTAATTTTTCCGTATTTTATTTTTAAAATTATTATTATTATTATATTTTGAGACAGAGTCTTGCTCTGTCAGACAGGCTGGAGTGCAGTGGCACAATCTCGGCTCACTGCAACCTCCGCCTCCTGGGTTCAAACAACTCTCCTGCCTCAATCTCCTAAGTAGCTGGGATTACAGGCGCATGCCACCATGCCCGGCTAATTTTTGTAGTTTTAGTAGAGACGGGGTTTTACCACGTTGGCCAGGCTGGTCTCGAACTCCTGGCCTCAAGTGATCCGCCTGCCTCGGCCTCCCAAAGTGCTGGGATTACATTCGTGAGCCACCCTGCCCAGGTGCAAACACACTCATTTTCATCTTAGACTCTTCATTTATATTGGTCTTATTGGAAAAAACATACAGATATGGCCAGGACCTGAAATCTGGTGTGTCCTAAAATTACTTCAGGGCATCCTGTGCGTAATTTGGACATTGGCGCCATCAGGAAGCAGCAACTCCCTGTATGATTGACATTTCTCTCTCTCTCTTTTTTTTTTTTTGGAGATGGAGTCTTGCTCTATCACTCAGGCTGCAGTACAGTGGCGCCACCTCAGCTCACTGCAACCTCTGCCTCCCGGTTTCCAGCGATTCTCCTGCCTCAGCCTCCCAAGTAGCTGGGATTACAGGCATGCACCACCACACCCGGCTAATGTTTTGTATTTTAGTAGAAATGGGGTTTCACCATGTTGGTCAGGCTGGTCTTGAACTCCTGACCTCAGGTGATCCGCCCGCCTTGGCCTCCCAGACATTTCTCTTTGTGCCTGCATCTCCCCCATTGTATGGGAAGTCCCTCCAGGGACTTTGTCTAAGTGAACATTGTGCTCACCGAAGTCTGCGTGACCCAGGCGGGATCTGGCTCAGGTGCCAGAGGTAGGGTGGGATTAATGAAAGTTTGTTGAATGACTTAATGACCTCTGAGAATGTATCATTTTGCAAAAGGGAAACTGAGGCCCTTTGGACTCTAGTAGTTTTTCCTGGCACCTGATTTGCATTGTGGGCTGGTGCCTGAGAGGGAGGGACATTGAATCATAGGAGGTGCTAAGAAGTACCCATTCTCTAGCCTGGAAGGCCTCGTTCCTTATCTTGGCTGTACCTGGCTTTATTTTATGTGATGGCGTTTGTGCTGTTGACATCTTGTTTCCCTAACTCGAGCTTGTCCAACCCTCGACCCACTGGCCACACGTGGCCCAGGATGGATGTGGCTCAACACACATTCATCAACTTTCTTAAAACATTACAAAATTTTTGTGCAATTTTTCTTTCTTTTTTTTTTTTCAAGACGGAGTTTCACTTTTGTTGCCCAAGCTCAGCTCACTGCAACTTCCACCTCCCGGATTCAAGTGATTCTCTCCCTCAGCCTCCTGAGTAGCTGGGACTACAGGTGCATGCCACTACGCCTGGCTCATTTTTGTTTGGTTTGGTTTTGTTATATTTTTGAGACAGAGTCTCGCTCTGTCGCCCAGGCTGGAGTGCAGTGGCGTGATCTTGGCTCACTGCAACCTCCACCTCAAGAGTTCAAGACATTCTCCTGACTCAGCCTCCTGAGTAGCCGGGACTATCAGCGCATGCCACCACGCCTGGCTAATTTTTTGTGTTTTTAGTAGAGATGGATTTTTCACTGTGTTAGCCAGGATGGTCTTGATCTCCTGACCTCGTGATCCGCCGACCTTGACCTCCCAAAGTGCTGCGATTACAAGTGTGAGGCACCGTGCCTGGCTAGTGTTAGTGTATTTTATGTGTGGCCCGAGACGATTCTTCCTGTGTGGCCCAGAGGAACCAAAAGACTGGACACCCCTGCTCTAAGTAGTTTGTGAGCTTTTTCTCAGAGATGCCTGGAATAGTTTGTTACTCATGTTTTTAAATGATTCACTTGAACCATTATTACTGTTTTTTGAGACAGGCTGGAGTGCAGTGGTGCAGTCATGGCTCACTACATCCTTGATCTTCCAGGCTCAAGAGATCCTTCTGCATCAGCCTCCTGAGCAGCTGGGATTACAGGCGCACACTGCCATGCCTGGTTCATTTATTTTTAATTTATTTTATTTATTTGTTTATTTATTTTTGAGACGGAGTTTCACTCTTGTTACCCAGGCTGGAGTGCAATGGCGCGATCTCGGCTCACCACAACCTCCGCCTCCTGGGTTCAGGCAATTCTCCTGCCTCAGCCTCCTGAGTAGCTGGGATTACAGGCACGCACCACCATGCCCAGCTAATTTTTTGTATTTTTTAGTAGAGACGGGGTTTCACCATGTTGACCAGGATGGCCTCGATCTCTTGACCTCGTGATCCACCCGCCTCAGCCTCCCAAAGTGCTGGGATTACAGGCGTGAGCCACCGCGCCCGGCCTATTTTTATTTTTTTTAGAGACAGAGTCTCACTATGTTGCTCGGGCTGGTCTTGAATTCCCCGGGCGCAAGAGATCAGCCTTCATTGGCCTCCCAAAGTGCTGGGATTACAGAGGTGAGCCACTGCACATAGCTGGGCAATTATTAACCTGAGCAAATTTGAGAAATTTTGACTTCCTCAAGGTAGTTAGGGAACTGGAGCCCTCAATCAACGGCCCTCAATACCTTTCCTGCAGGAGAGCTAGATACCTCCTCTGTGATACTTAACTTCTTCTAGCTAAGGTGCCTGGGCTGTGCCCCTCACCACGTACGTGTACATGAAAACCTATTCCCTGGCCAGGCGTGGTGGCTCACGCCTGTAATCTCAGCCCTTTGGAGGCCGAGGCTGGTGGATCACCTGAGGTAAGGAGTTCAAGACCAGCCTGGACAACATGGTGAAACGCTATCTCTACTAAAAATATAAAAATTATCCGGGCTTGGTGATGCAGGCCTGTAGTTCCAGCGGAGGCAGGGAAATTGCTTGAACCCGAGAGGCAGAGGTTGCAGTGAGCCAAGATCATGCCATTGCACTCCTGTCGGGGCACCAAAGTAACGCTTCATCTCAAAAAAGAAAAAGAAGGCCGGGTGAGATGGCTCAGGCCTGTAATCCCAGCACTTTGGGAGGCTGATGTGAGTGGATCAGAGGTCAGGATTTCGAGACCAGCCTGGCCAATATGGTGAAACTCTGTCTCTGCTAAAAACACCAAAACAATTAGCTGGCCGTGGTGGCGGGGGCCTGCAGTCAGCTACTCAGGAGGCTGAGACAGGAGAATTTCGCTTAAACCCGGGAGGTAGGGTTTGCAGTGAGCCAAGATCGTGCCATTGCACTTCAGCCTGGGGAACCAAAGCAAGACTCCATCTCAAAAAGAACAAGAAAAAGGTATTTCCTGTCTCAGCCATGCTGAGTTTTTGCGACAGTGCTGCAAGCAGATAACACGCTCCGATAAAAACAGGCTGGGTTTCTACAGCCCGCGCCTTCATTTTGGAGGGGCTTAGGTGGGCCTGCTCACACACCTGTGGTGTGGCTTCTACCCGGCCAGTGGCCGAGGGTCTGGGATTGTGTGCGGTGGCCTTGATCGCGTACTGAGGTTGCAGATAGTGAACGGAGCACCATCTGGACATCGTGCATTAGAACGCAGGAGTTTCCCAAGGCTGCTCTGACAAAGGACCTCAAGCTCACATATTTATATATTTTTTTGGGGACAGTCTCACTCTGTCGCCCGGGCTGGAGTGCAGTGGTTCCATCTCAGCTCACTGCAACCTCCGCTTCTGGGGTTCAAGTGATTCTCCTGCCTCAATCTTTCGAGTAGCTGGGATGATAGGCACACACCACCATGCCCAGCTAATATTTCTATTTTTAGTAGAGAAGGGGTTTCACCATGTTGATCAGGCTGGTCCGGAACTCCTGATCTCTAGCGATCCGCCTGCCTTGGCCTCCCAAAGTGCTGGCATTCCAAGCGTGAGCCATCATGCCCAGCCCACACATTTCTTATCTTACAGTTTGGGAGGTGAGAAGTCTGAAATAAAGTTTAGGGGCAGGGCCGGCTCTGGGAGTCTGTTTCTTGCTTTTTCTAGCCACCCGAGGCTCCCAGCCTTCTTGCCTCTTGGCCTGGTCATTCCGAAGCCTGCTTCCACTTTCCCATCACCTTTGACTGTGACCTTTTGATATCCCTCTTACTCTTATTAGGACCTCTTAAGAACA